CGGGCGCCGCCATTTTTAAATGTCCGCTAGAGCGGACTCCGTGCCGCGTGGCTACATGCGGCACGGACTAGGTAGTTCGGACTAGGCAACGAGGAGTAATGGTAGTTCAGACTAGGAAGCCTAGTCCGAACTACCTAGTCCGTGCCGCGTGTAGCCGCGCGGCATGGAGTCCGCAGTAGCGGACATTTTAAAATGGCGACGCCCGGCTTTATGCAAATGATGCCCGGGAAATTCAAATCCCGGGCTTCATTTGCAACTCCGGTTTCCTACATTACCACCCTAGTCCAAACTAGGGTGGTAGTGTAGACATACCCCAAATGAAATTAATGGGGAGCAGGTTTAAAACTAATAAAAGAAAGTTCTTCTTCACACAGCACGTAGTCAACCTGTGGAACTCCTTGCCAGAGGAGGCTGTGAAGGCTAGGACTATAATAGAGTTTAAAGAGAAGCTAGATAATTTCATGCAGGTTAGGTCCATAAAAGGCTATTAGCCAGGGGATAAAATGGTGTCCTTGGCCTCTGTCTATCAGAGGCTGGAGAGGGATGGCAGGAGACAAATTGCTTGATCATTGTCTTTGGTCCACCCTCTCTGGGGCACCTGGTGCTGGCCACTGTCGGTAGACAGGATACTGGGCTAGATGGACCTTTGGTCTGACCCAGTACGGCCATTCTTATGTTCTTATGTTCTTATGCACTATTTCAAAATATCCTATTTCGAAAAAAGAAATGCTGTCTAGATGCGGTTATTTCGAAAGAAACCCCTTCTTATAAAATGAAGCTTAAGGGTAATATCGAAAGAAGGTTTTTTTTGAAATAACCACGTCTAGACAGCGTTTCTTTTTTTCGAAATAGGGTATTTCCGAAATAGTGCCCGGATGCGATTATGGAAATGAAGTGTGGGAAATTCAAATCCGCACTTCATTTGCAATTTCGCTCAGCAGCATTTGCATTTATCTCTCGAAAGAGGAATGCAGTGTAGACATACCCTTAATTACAGTCTACCAGTATAAATGGTTATCCCATTACTTGGGACTTATTGGTTAATGTTCCTGGTTACACACAGGCTCCTGGTACACTTGGGGAACCATCTTAAGAGCCAGCTCCTGGCGCATACCAGATCCCAGGGAACTGCCTGCTGCCCCTGTATCAGTATGCATAGAGGAGCCACCTACCACCAGGGGCAGCAGCGCAGTGCGGCAGGCAGGAGCCGGCATGTGCAGGGAATCATGTAATTTTCAGGGGTTACATGGTTATTTAATTGCACACATTTTAACATCCCTACTTGCTATGATTGATTAATGACATTTTGTATGAATAGATTACACATATCTTTAATGTGCCTTGTACACACCAATACAATTGACAATAAATGTGATAACTCTATATTCATTACCTTTGTAACACATTGATTCTGGATTTTTTCAGACTACTCCTCACTTTCCCCAAGATCTAAAAGAACTCTGATGAATCTCCCATTTTTTCCTCACTATAGCCCTCCCCTTCACACATTTGAAGTGTGGGTATGTCTACACTACGGCACTAATTCGAACTAACTTAGTTCGAATTAGTTAATTCAAACTAAGCTAATTCGAACTAACGCATCCAGACTAAAAAACTAGTTCGAATTAGCGTTTTGCTAATTCGAACTAACATGTCCACATTAAGTGGACCCTGAACCGGGATTAAGGATGGCCGGAAGCAGTGCCGGCAGGGCATAAGATGAGGACTTAGAGCGTGGAGCTGCTGCCTCAGGCTAGCCGATGGCTGTGCTTAAAGGGACCCGACCCTGGCACCGTAGCCAGCCCGTGCCCCTTTAAGAGGTCCGGGGCCGGGAGGGGGGGGGCAATAGAGTTTCCCTGGTGTTGGCCAGAGTGGCCACCAGGGACAGCTGGGGAGGGCTAGCCTCCCACTAGTTCGAATTAAGGGGCTACACACCCCTTAATTCGAACTAGTAAGTTCGAACTAGGTTTAGTCCTCGTAGAATGAGGTTTACCTAGTTCGAACTAAGCGCTCCACTAGTTCGAATTAAGTTCAAACTAGCGGAGCGCTAGTGTAGCGCCTATCAAAGTTAATTCGAACTAACGTCCGTTAGTTCGAATTAACTTTGTAGTGTAGACATACCCTGACGTGGTTTCTAAAAGAGTGTCATAAGGAGGAGGGAGAAAACTTGTTCATTTTGGCCTCTGAGGCTAGAACAAGAAGCAATGGGCTTAAACTGCAGCAAGGGAGGTTTTGATTGGACATTAGGAAAAAGTTCCTAACTGTCAGGGTAGTTAAGCACTGGAATAAATTGCCCAGGGAGGTTGTGGAATCTCTATCTCTGGAGATATTTAAGAGTAGGTTAGATAAATGTCTATCAGGGATGGTCTAGACAGTATTTGGTCCTTCCGTGAGGGCAGGGGACTGGACTCGATGACCTCTCGAGGTTCCTTCCAGTCCTAGTGTTCTATGATTCTATGACATAGCCTTTATTATTACAACTACTGTGGAGTGCAGGATCGAGGATTCTTTTTTGAGCCAATCAAAGCTGCTTCTTAATTGCATAGTTTTTTTGGGGTGTATTTTAACTGCTATATAAATGCAGAAGTCATGTTGTAGCAATTATTTATTATAGACTCCTTTAAATTATGGTAGTGCCTAGAGACCAACCAGGTCAAGACCTGACTGTGCTAAAGCCCAGATCCTTAAAGATATTTAAGCACCTAACTCCCATGAAAATCAATTAGGAATTAGGTGTCTAAATACTATTGAGCATATAGGCCTGAGCTCTGTATAAACATATAATAAATGAGAGTCCCTGACTTAATCAGATCACAGTCTAAATGGAAAGACATACAAGATGTATGAGACAAACAACTAGACTGGGTTTGGGGGGAGGGGGAAGAAGTTAACAAAATCACAGGCTGTGTGCAATTCTTACCCAGTCAGGAGCAGTAAACACTAATTTTCACCTTCCTAATTTAATGGTTAGCAAATAGCAACATTCTATAAAAATTAAGGAAGTACTGCATTTTTAGAAGGGACTTAAAGTTTGGATGGCAGCTTATCCCATGTGTAAGTAATGATACTAATGATTCAGGAAAAATAAGCTCTCCCATTAAATAAAATTTCAAATTTTAATAAGTGTTGTTGCATCTATGTTGATCACAGACTATTAGAGAAACAAGATGGGCAAGGTAATAACTTTTATTGAACCAACTTCTGTTGGTAAGAGAGTATGAAAGGTTGTATCTCTCACCACCAGAGTTTGGGCAAGAAAGGATAATGCCTCATCTGCCTTGTCTCTCTAAAGTTGAAGAATTGATTTCCTCTGGATTGTATATGAAGTGCTGAAAGTGTTTTTCATGCAACGGCTGGGATCTTGGATGTAGATGCAGCTTCATGATGTTGCTTTGCCAGTGTTCATCCTCGAGCACAAGGAATGTGGATCTTCAGATTGGCCAGAGGATTTCCTGAAGATGATTAGCACTAGGCCCTCGGGATCTGACTTTCAGAAATGCTAAGCATCTACCACTCCAATTGAAACCAGTGGAGACTGTAAGGCTATGCCTATACTGGCAGGTCTTGCGCAAGAACCTGCAGAGCATCCACACGGCCTGCCCGCTCTTGAGCAAGAGCTACGCTCTTTTCTAACAAGTGTAAGCCCTCTTGTGCAAGAGCTCCTGCGCAAGAGGGCAGTGTGGATGAGCAGCAGGGGTTTCTTGCGCAAGAAAGCCCTATGGTTAAAATGGCCATCATGTGCAAAAGCACATGGCAGTATGGACATGATCTTGTGCAAGAATTCTTGTGCAGGAACTCCTCTTCTGAGCAGTTAAGAAATGTGAGACCCACTGCCACCATAAAGCATTTTGCGTCACAAAAACACAGCATTTAATTATACTAGGAAATACGTACACATCTACACCTCAATCTCCTCAATAAAGTCAACAGAATTTTCCAGACTTTCTCTAGTGTAACTCAGGCCAGAATGTGACCTGCTGTATTTCTGTCTCAGATTTCAATAGCATGGAAGTCAGTTGCAGTTTTCTAAAAAGATCTCCTTCATGATATACAATAAGACTGACTTAGAAAAAGGCCCACATAGCAATGTCTCTTTTATCTCACAAAGAGGTAATATTTAAAAGAGAATGATTGGAATGTTACCATTACTGGCCCGTTGCTTTATTGTTAGCATCTGTTCTCCAGACAGCTTTGCTTTTTTCATGGCGGAAGTGGCTCTGGGGCATCCTGATAGACTGTGAACAATGAGAAGATAAAGAGCCTATTAATTGTCATAGGTCACTGACAATAAATCTGTCAACCTAAACTATCACAAAAATAATATCTGAGAGGAAATTTATCTCCACTCTACACCAAATTAATAGGGTATCTGGGTCTGAAAGAGAGGGAGGACTTCATAACTCTTCTGCTCTCACCTTTTTTGAATATGCATATTATATATAAATATAAAAAAAAGTATTTTATGTAAAAAAATTAACTAGGAAAAGAACAAGGACTTTTAAAAATATGGTACCCATAAAAGGTACATAAGGAAGTGTTACTTATACCTTCTCGTAACACAAGAACTAAATGATATCAATAGGCAGCAGATTTAAAACCAACAAAAGGAAGTATTTTTTCACTTAACACACGGTCAACCTGTGGAACTCCTTGCCAAAGAATGTTGTGAAAGCCAAGACTATAACAGAGTTAAAAAAATACTTAGGCTATGTCTACACTGTAGTGTTATTTCAGGATACCAGAGCGTATCACAAAATAGCTATTCTGTGTCTTTTGAGTGTGCCTGTTATTTTGAAATATAATGGGCTCACTATTCTGATGTCCCTGTAAACCTCATTCCATGAAGAATAAGGGACATTTCAGAATAGCAATTTATTTTGAAATAAGTGCTTTGTAGGCAGTGCCAAATTTCAAAATAAACTATTTTGAAATTAACTCAAAATAAGCTACGCAATTTGCATAGCTCAAATTGCGTAGCTTACTTTGAGCTCCGATGCAGTGTAGATGCATCCTTAGGTAAGTTCACAGAGAATAGGTCCATCAGTGGCTATTAGCTTGTCTCAGTTTGCCAGAAACTGGGAATGAGAAACAGGAGATGGATTATTTGATGATTGACTGTTCTGTTCATTCCCTCTGGAACACTTGGCATTGGCCATTGTCAGTGTAAGCAGGGTCAGGGTAAACTCTATCCTGACATCTAGTGGCGAACTGTGGCAAGTGGTGCAAAGAGACTTCAGGGGCTGAGCCCAATTTGCATAGACACACCCACCCTGTCTAGTATGTGCCACAGCAGCCCAAATCGTCACTTTGGCCACTGTGGGAGCCCCAGTCTCCCTCTTATTGAGGCAGAGGGGAGAAAAGTGTTGTTACCCTGATTATGCGAATCAAGGACAATGGAATGGTGGAACTGTTTATGACAGAGGGATTCGCCATAAACTAAGTAGCACTCGCTAGACAAGGGGCATGGGTTCCAAACCCAGTCAAATTGAGAGAGGTTGGGGACAGGTCTTGGTACCTGGTGGTGGGGCCCTGTCTGAGGGACTAAACAACACTGATTGCACTTCCTCCTCTCTCCACTGTGGAATATCAGAAGTTAGTCTGTAAGGTGCCACAGGACTCCTCGTCGCTTTTGCAGATTCAGACTAACACAGCTACCCCTCTGATCCTTCTTTCAAAATAATCCTTAAACCTCATTTTATAAGGAGTAAGAGTTATTTCGGAAGAAGGGTTTTCTTTTGAAATAACCGCATCTAGACAGCGTTTCTTTTTTCGAAATAGGGCATTTTGAAATAGCGCCCGAACGTGATTATGTAAATGAAGCATGGGAAATTCAAATCGGCGCTTCATTTGCAATTTCATTCATCTGCATTCCTCTGTCAAAAGAGGAATGCAATGTAGACATACCCTTACTGTCAGCTCAAGACCAAGTTTATAGGCATGCAGTGGGCATTAAGCTTTCATGGGACAGAGGAAAATAGTATTTGCTGAAGTGTTGTGGAGTAGCTGCTGTTTTGGGAGGGAGTGTGGGGGGCAGAAAGAGTAGGACTGCCAGGTGTGTGGCCTCTGTCCAGTAAAACAACCCAGAAAATACCGGACATGTAAAATGTCCAGTATTTTCTGTTTTTCTCGGATGGAAGGCCACTTGGGACATTCTTCCACTGCCATGTCTGGCAGGAGTGGGAAGATTTAAAGGCTCAACAACTTTGCTTCCCCCCCTTTTTTTCTTTGGTTCGTAAGGTGCATCGATCCCCCACCCCTTCTTTTTTTTTTTTTTTTAACTCAACCAATTTTTTTCCTGCAATGTTTGGTATTTTTTTGTGAAAGTATCTGGCAACTGTAAGAAAGAGGGTTGGTCTTCTCTTGTCACTCTGGAGGGCTCAGTAGGTAGGGTGCTTTGGGCTAATGATCTTGTTCATTAAAATTATGTTTGGATCCAATATGAGGACCCAGTTAAAGGGATTCATAGATCCATGTTATTAAAGGTTTGCTACTATACTGAGGCTCTGTGCTTGCGAGAGGGGAAGAATTGCCTCTTTTGAGGCACCCAGAGGTGTATGTAAGATTTCCCAGGTCACTGGGTGGGGGCTCGAGCCGGTGTTGTATTACCTCGTTGGGAGGAGACCCCTAGATGCCCTTGCTACTGCTATTTACTCGGCCTGGCAGAAGGGTTACATCAGAAAACAGGATACTGAGCTAGATGGACCTTTGGTCTGACTCAGTATGGCTGTTCCTATGTTCTTTTGTTACCTTCTAAAAATGATTACTGCTTAAATGTTCCATTTAAATAAAGCATTATCTGCCTGCCCCACTCCCTTTCTACTCAGAAACCCAAACACAAGAACTCTGAGGATGAGTCTACACAGCAGGGCTTAACTCGAAATAAGCTATGCAAATTTAACTGTGTCAATTGCTTAGCTTATTTTGAAATAGCTTGTTAATGTTATCCCAAAAAATACTCCCACTGGAGACCACCTATGGTTACACTAGCATGGGTTTGTTTCCACTAAAGGTATAAACTAAAGAAGACAGAGCTGCCACCAAAGGTTTAAACTAAAGGGGAAACCAGCTATCTTTCTCTCTCTCTCTCACAAACAAACAAATAAGCGCGCGCACGCATGCACCTCCATTCATTCACTCATTCACACACATTCATTCCTGCCCTCAGACACTCACACACTTACACAGGCAGAAGAACAAGGCATGTTGGTTCTGTAGGGTCTGTCTGCTGATCATGGCTGGGAAACTGGTCAGGAAAAACACTGGCTGTAGCGAGGAGTTTCTCAGGAGCCAGGGAAGAAAAAGGAATCTCACATGTGCTCCCTCTCCTTTTATTGTGTCTGAATGGCCCATGTGACTCATCCACCTCATCATCAGGGAGCATGCCCAGACTTCCCTTTATCCAGCAAAGCAGAAGTCTCTGATGACTCATCACCATGTGCTCCAGCCTCAGTATTGCGTGCGCGCGCGTGCACGCACGCGCACAAACACACTTCTCTCTCTCCTCATTCACTCAGGGAAAATGCAGTTTAGATCAAGTTACAAGCAAGGTGGCTGAGAGTTACAAAGATTACAAAGTTTTACAAAGAGTTTGACAAAGGTTACAATTAGTTGCAGTTTAAAATCTTAGACCTTACAGTTTAGTGTATTTCCTGAAAATGCATGTGTAAAATCAAGTAAGCTCAGGCAGAAGCTTTTTTATGCAACAATTTTAAAATTGGGAGCGTCTACACGGCACTTATTTTGAAATAGAGCACTCTTCCTCTGACTTTCATTACTTCTTGTACAATGTGGGTTACAGGGTTGGAGTAAGAAGTCCTCCAGCTTGACAGTATTTCAAAATTATTTTGAAATAACTGCCTGCTGTGTAGCAGCAGACTATATTATTTTGGACTAGCGCTAGTTATTTCAAAATAATGTTGCTGTATAGACGTATCCTGAATGTCAAGAACAGAGGGAACTAGCTAGCTATAATTGTGCCTTTAATAACTAGTTCTTTTGAATGACAAGCCCTTTTTAAGCATGCTCATTTTTTATAGAGATTACCAATTCATATATTCGAATTGTTCTTTTTCTAAATTCGCTTATTTAAATATGTGAATTGTTGTGAAAAAGGTGCTTCCCCTTTCTATGGGTACGTCTAGACTACAGGCTTTTGTCGACAGAAGTTTTGTTGATAAAGCAAGCCACTTTGTCGACATGACAGTGTAGATGCAAAGGACAGTGTAGATGCAATAACGCCTTCTGTCGACAGAACTCTGTCGACAAAAGGCATTATTCCTCGTAGAATGAGGTTTACAGCCATCGACAAAACTGCTGAGTTCTGTCGACAAAATTCTGTAGTTTAGACACACACCCTATGAGACCTGCATGAATTGCATGTAAAATGAGATTTAACACTGTCTTTCAGGTTCACACCTCCACAATCTCATTCTATGTATGGAGTCCTAGACACTATTTTGGGGACAGGTGTTCTATGTACTAAATAAATCATATACAAATAATTATATATTTATTTTTAATTGTGGAATATTTTATTAAGATTTCACCATGTATTTTAAAAAAAGTGTCCTTAACTGTGGAACAGTTAAAAGTGTGTCTACATTGCCCAAAATGTTTACCTGTGTCTCATATTATGGCCATCCTCTTATGACACCATATAAAAGAATATAGCATCAAAATGAATTTTATTTGTTCTATCCAAGCAAATGAAAGAATGTTGGCCAGATTGTGCTCACACACAGCAATGTACTGTGGGCACAAAACTGTTCCCAATCTTAAAAATCATGTTCTTCATATGACACTGTGTATTAGACTTGGCAGGAAGAAAACTATGTTTAACATTATTACAAGCAGGAGTATTATGTTCCCATTCTATCAGTCCTTAAAAGCAGGGAATTCTGAAATGTTTCCAAAAGCAATTCTACATTTTTGAGCACGTTTTCATGATTTAATAATTAATTTGAACTCTAGATTCTACATGCTACATATATGCTACTGCATACTGTGAAATTTGTACTTTGTTCTCAAGGCTAGAGTGTACTATTTCTACTGTTTTTTAATTGTTCATGTGTCAGGCTTAAATCCTGAATAGAACCAGTAAAGCAGCTTATTTTTCTCATAAAGAATGTAGGTATGTATAATATGGATCCAATCTCCATGGGCTGTGGTAGCTTCGCCATCACTTGGAGTTCTTAAATAAAGACTCAATTTCTTACAAAAAGATATGTTTCAGTTC